TTGTGCGTTTCCTCATAGTTTTAATGTTTTCATATTCTTCTTGGATTCTCATTCTCTTGGTATGCTATGAAGTGTTAATTTTCTTTGAGGTTGCCTTATGGTCCATTGAATTCTCTGTCCATTTAGTGCAGTCCGTTTTATCCTGTAATCTACCTGACCGTCTGGTTGTCTGGGTGTTCACCTTCTTTTGCATTGTACTTGTTTAGATCATAGCCTGCCCTCCCAGAGTCTCTGAGTTTGTTCTTATAGTTTTGATTTGTTATTATTTCTTCTTTCTGTTGACTTAATTCAGGGAGGTGCTGCCACGTACGTCAATCTCTGGTTGTTGTCTGTTCTTGTTGGTTCTCGGTCCACAGAACTCCCTTTAGGATGTTTTGTAGCGCAGGCTTGGCTTTGGTGAAGTCCCATAGCTTCTGTTTATCCTGGAATGTTTGATTACACCCTCATATTTGATTGGTAGCTTTGCTGGATAAAGGATTCTTGGTTGGCAGTATTTTTCTTGCAGGGTTTTTATATATATCTCCCCATTGCCTTCTCGCTTACACGGTTCCTGCTGAGAGATCTGTGCTTAGTCTGACTTGTTTGCCTTTGTATGTGATCCCTCTGTTTTCTCTTGCTGCATTCAGGAGCGTCTTCTTATCTTTGAGTTTGGAGAGCTTGACTATGATATGTCTTCGTGATTTTCTTTTGGGGTCCACCCTTCCTGGATTCTGTTGGGCTTCTTGAATTTCTATCTTTTCGCCCTTGAGGATGTTAGAGAAATTTTCTTCCGGTAGTTCTTCGACTATTTCCTCTGTGAACTTGTGTGACTCATTTTGTTCTGGAATGCCAATAATTCTTAGGTTATTCCTTTTCATGTTGTGCAACATGCATCTTAGACCTTCCTCTGAATTTTTTATCCTTTTTTGGGTTTGTTCTTTTATCTCAGTGGTATTGAGAGACCTGTCTTCCAGCTCACTGCTTCTTCCTTCCATCTTATCTGTTCTACTCCTTTGCCCTTTCAAAGAGTTTTCTATTTCTGCCATTTTGTTGTTGATTGTTTGGACCTCTTTTTGTAGGTTTTGGATTGTTACCAATGCTGTATCTATCTTGTTTGATTGTTCCTGTAGCGCTTTCTGACTTCTTCCTTATTTTTCTCAATTCCATCGTAAAGTGTTTTGAAACATTTTATGATCATTTTTCTGAATTCTTTCTCTTGCATTTCCAGGGCCTGCCCGCCTTCCAGAATGGAGTCCAGGTCTACTTCTAGGTCGTTTGTCTCAGATATTTATCCTTTTTTGGACATGTGCTGATATGGTCATTTGGTTTTGCTTCTTAGACATGTTTAATGTTTATCTGTGGCCCTTATACTTAAATGAGTATGTATTTTGGTACTTTTCTATGCTTTCTGATTGCTTCCAGGAAAATGTGATCAGGGTGTGGTCTTCCCTTTTCCCTCTTCTTATTGCTTAACTCAGAGTAACTTTCACAGGTGGTGCCTGTTTCCTTGGTATATGGCAGCTGGTATTGTTTCTTGCCCGGGTTTTGGTATTTTATAAGGTGTGATTGTAGCTTGGCTTTTTGGTAGTGGTTGCTGACTCTTCTCGTGTAATATAGGGGGACAAAGAGTCCTCCAAAAGCAGAAGGGAGGCCGTGTAGCAGCTAGACAACAGCAGTTGGGTAAAAAACAGAAACAAAATCAGCATCGGAAGCAAAAACAAAAATGGGTGAAATAGGGAAAAACGGAATGAAGAAGAAAAAATATATAAGAAAAAACCAGAAGAAAACAATGCAGCACCAGCGAAAACAAGACTAAATTTAGCAGTCTTTAATCACAAAAAAGGGAGAGTGGGACGGAGAATAAAAAGAGGAAGAAGAGAGAAAAAAGAAGGAAAAGAAAAAAAATATCTGTAGCTTAATATAAGTAGTTCTTTAATGTCCTAACTCTCTTTCAGTCACCTCTGCCCTACTCTCCCTACTGTTAGGTGCTGTTGAATCAATTCCGACCTGTAGCGTCCGTGTATAGGGGCTCCAAGGAGCGGCTGGTTAGTCTGAACCACCACCCTGCAGTTCAGAAGGCTTTGCAGTGTGGCATCTCAACCCACAGTGATATGCCGGGGCTCCTCTCAAACCAGTGAAGAAGATAAAAAGAAAAGAAAAAAAAAAAAGCAAACCAAATAGGACACACATCCGCTTCCCCCGTATAGGGTTTCTGCAGAGCGGCTGGTTAGCTTGAACCACCGACCTTGCAGTTCGAAAGGCTTTGCAGTGGTTTCTTAACCCACAGTGCTACGCCGAGACGCCGTTCAAACCAGTGAGGAAAAACCGACCAAATAGTCCGCGCATTTGCGTCTCCCGTATAGGTTTCCATGGAGCTGCTGGTTAGCTTGAACCACTGACCTTGCAGTTCAAAAGGCTTTATAGTGGTGCTTTAACCTACAACACTATGCCGGGACTCCTCTCAAACCAGCAAAAAAACAAAACAAAACAAAAAAAAAACCCAACCAAACTGCATGCACATCCATGTCTCCCCTATAAGGTTTCCGAGGAGCGGCTGGTGAGCTTGAACCACAGACCTTGCAGTTCAAAAGGCTTTACAGTGGCTCCTTAACCTGCCACGCTACGCCGGGACACCTCTCCAGTGAGAAAAAGCTGACCAAAGATAACGCACATTGGTGTCTCCCGTATAGGGTTTCCGAAGAGCGGCTGGTGAGCTTGAACCACTAACCTTGCAGTTTAAAAGGCTTTACAGTGGCTCCTTAACCCACTGTGCTATGCCGGGACACTTCTCCAACCAGTGAGAAAAAGCCGACCAAAGAGAACGCACATTGGTGTCTCCTGTATAGGGTTTTCGAAGAGTGGCTGGTGAGATTGAACCACCGACCTTGCAGTTCAAAAGGCTTTACAGTTGCACCTTAACCCACCGGGCTATGCCGGCTCAAACCAGTGAGAAAAAGCCGACCAAATAGAACGCACATCCGCATCTTCCAATCTTGCAGTTCAAAAGGTTTACAGTGACACCTTACCCCGCCATGCTACATCGGGACGCTTCTCTAACCAGTGAGAGAAAGCTGACCAATTGGAACGCGCATCCGCGTTTCCCATATAGGGTTTCCAGTGAGCGGCTGGTGAGCTTGAACCTCCGACCTTGCAGTTCAATAGGCTTTACAGTGGCACCTTAACCCACCTTGCTACGCCGGTACGCCTCTCCAACCAGTGAGAGAAAACCGACCAAATGGAACGCACATCTGCGTCTCCCGTATAGGGTTTCCCAGGAATGGCTGGTGAGTGTGAACCACCGACCTTGCAGTTCAAAAGTATTGGCTGTGCGGCGCCTTAACCCGCAGAGCTACACCAGGGCCCCTCTCAACCTAGTACAAAAAGGCCGACCAAATATGCATCTCAGCTTGGGCTGAGTTGTTGTGAGTTCCTGGCAGAGGAAACTGCCAGCGGTGAGGGTGGGTCTTGGCCACTAGGCTAAGCCCCTACCTATATTCACCAAATGTAGGTGGGCAAACCGTGAGCGCACCTATTACCGTACACCAAAGAAAAAATAAAATCGGACCCACACAAAATTGGCAGAGTATACTGTGCATCTTTTTTTTTTTCCTCTTTCTTTTCCAAGGTTACCGCAGGGGCTGCGTCTCTGCAGCTCCGTCTGGATCCGCCCAGAATGTGGCCTCAGGCCTCAGTGCCTGGCAGGCAAATCCAAAAGTACTCGATTTCCCACCTCAGCTCCAAATTCCACAGGCTATATGTTCTCAAACCTTTAAACTATTCCTATCTCTGTGGGTCCAAGCCTTGGAGCCCCGTCCTGCCTCTTTCTTGCCTGGAATTCCGAGTTATTGTTGACGGTGACCTTCACTACACCTTCACCCTAGCCGCCATCAAGCCCCGCCTCCTAAATTATAAATTTTGATCCTACTGAATTTTGGCCTCCAAAGTGAATGTGAAACCCTATTAAAAAAATAAATTCATAAACATACACAGCCAAAGTAGGAAGCTGACATTTGAAGTGAGAACAGGAGTGCAGGGGGAGTAAGCAATTTTTTAAACCATTAAAATTTAATGTGCACTTTTTGTGTATGTCTATTGTATGATTTTTTTTCTTCTTAAAATCATTAATCTTGTCCTTATAGTGATCGTTTTATATTTTTAGGAATAAAGGTTGGGGAGACTACACCTGACAAACTTTTCACTCTCATAGAAGTGGAATGTTTAGGTGCTTGTGTAAATGCACCAATGGTTCAAATAAATGACAACTACTATGTGAGTATTTCACTTAATATAAATTAAAATTACATGATAATTTTTAAAGACTATTTAAAAATATTTGAGTCCCTGTAGATTGTTTGAGTTATTTAGAGGAAACAGGATACGTATCCAGAAGTTTTTTAAAAATCACCATCCATAGACAAGGAAACCCTATATAGGGTTGCTATGTGTATGAATCAACTTGATGGCAATGGTTTGGGTTTGTGCAAGGCTTGAAGCCATTTCAGTGAGATTTAAAAGCTGCATGTACAGCAAATACAGATGATTGTGATAAAGACTTTGGTGCAATTAGGGGTTAATTGAATCATTTCGAAGTTTGGGCAAATTCATGTGACACTAAAATGGCCTAAAGGATGGTGGTGCCACACTCAAAGATGGTGGTCATTTGTGCTGCTTTGAATGTCGGGTGGTTCTCCACAGTCCTGTCAGTTGTACAGTTTCACACATCTGGCTTCTGAAAGGACTTTTTAAAGTCTTCGCTTCCAGGGCTTCAACCAGTGGAGAGCCACCCAAATTGTAAAAATTGGTCTGTCCCTGTTTTGCGTGGTTGGCCATGACAGAACTTGTTCAAAGGCCTACTTTAAAGGGCAAATAGGAGTTATTTGTAAGTTGGATATAACTTGAGGACACCCTGTGATTTGAATACAGATACGGAAAATCACTCTACCAACCACTAAGACTTACAGGTATGAACATTTTGCCACATTTATTTCACATATGGTCATTTAGAAGTAAGCAGCATATATCAGTGAGTCCCTCTCAACCACACTCAAAATTGTGTTCCCTTCTTTTCATCCCCAGAAATAACCACTACCATAAATTTAGTGTGTAGTCTGCCTGTACATGCATTTAAACTTATTATATGTCTTCAGCCATACTAGTATATAATATAAGGAGCTCTGGTAGCATAGTGGTTACGAGTAGGGCTGCTAACCTCAAGGTCAGCAGTTCGAAACTACTAGCTGTTCCAAGGGAGAAAGATGAGGCTTTCAACTCCCATAAAGATACACAGCCTTGGAAACCGTATGCAGGGTCGCTATGAGTTGAAACCTACTCCAGGGCACATCACTACCACCGCAGTATATATTGCTTATTTTAAACATTTTACAGAGGGGGTATCATGCTTCTATTGTAAGTAATTTTACCTAGATCTTACAAGTTTTGCTAAGTTATATATATATATATATATATTTAGTTAATTTAGTTCTAAATCCTTTTTAAACTGCATTTTTATTTCTTTGACCTTTGAGCTTTTTAGAAGTGTTGTACATATCTAAATGTATGGCATTTTCTAGGTTTTCTTTTTTTGAACTTGCTTACTATCTTAATTATAGTTTTCATTCTTTATGCCTTCTTAGCTCATAGTTCTTTTAAAATTTTTGTTTATATAAATTATCTGAGACCTGTGTTGAGAGTGGAATCTTTAACAAGGATTTGCTTTGTTTTTTTCTTGTTCCTGAAAGTACTACTAGTCCAGTACTAAATTATGCTAAATTAAATTGTGGCATACAATTTAAATTAAATTGTAATTTAATTTAAATTGTAAATTTAAATTGATTTTAAATTGTAAATTTAATTTACATTGTAAATTTAAATTGTATGCTAGAAGTTTATTGGGCAGTCTTAAGAGAGTTTTTAAAAGAAAATCCTGTCTCCTTACTTCTGCCCACAAATGCTCAACATTCCAGATGAGCAGCGGTCTTTGAGGAATAGTTTATTTCTGGTTTACTGTTACATGATGGGGTCTTAAGCTTACTGTGGTTTGAGTGGACTTCTTGGGTTTTGTCCACTGCTATTCTAGGCTACGAAATCCTGGGATCACGTGTGGTGAAGTGGGTTCCTTTATGTGGCCTTTTGCCTTCATTCTTTGGAAAAATAGTTTGAAAGATTATTTTCCCCTGTGCCCTGGTAAGGAGTTACTTTGGCCCTAGCTTTCTATCATAGAGAGTTTGTTACCTTTGTCCAAGCTGATTGACATTTCCTGGGTAAGTTGAAAACAGCAAGTGGTTTAATACTTCTGGGCTTCAGGCTGTGCAGTTATTGTTATGCACTTTGTCCATAGACTATACATGTGAAGTAACTGTATACTGTGAGAATTGTCTGTGGCCTACTGAGAAGGGATTGACTAGTTTGTGGACTTGGTAGGAAGGCTATGACTTAAAATTGACAAAATGTTGTAGATGTAAGCAGCCAGCCCTACAGAGGTTTCAGGCAGAAGAGGACAAGCAGGAAGAAGCAGAAAGGCGAAAAGACAAGAGAGAAGCAGAGATAAAAGGAGGCAAAATAAAATAAATCCCACTGCTGTCAAGTTGATTCTAACTCATAACAACCTGGAACCTCTAAAATAGCTTTAATACAAGACAGAGGCTGTAACAGTTGGACAACCCCCTGTGGCAGAGTCCATGGTGACAGGTGGCAGGGTTAAGAGGAGGCCTATCCTGAGATGGCTAAGAGGATGCCTGTTGTCTTCAGAGGTCTGAAATGATACTGAGAGGAGGACTGCACAGCCAAAGAGGAGTTGAGGGAGACTTTGCCTCCATGCTTCTTGATTCTGAGTTGTTACTTCCTTAATAAACCATATGACTATAAGTATGCTCTGTGAGTTCTGTGTAGCTATTGCAATGGATTACTAAATCCAGTTGAGAAATAAAGTGTGCCATGGGAGGGACAGCTGTTGTCAGAATTGATGAAAAGGTTGGAAAGTGGAGGGTTAGTGGTATCTGAGCACCATCTAGTTCATCTGAATTCCAGGTTGTGGAGGCTGGGATTCGCTTGGTCTGTAGGTCTTTTGGACTAATTGTTTCTTTGTGTTTAAGAATTTGTGTATTATTTTTTGCTCTGGTTGGAGAGCAGCCAAGAGTTCAGCTTAGATAGTAGCTCACAAGCTTTTAAATCTCAGTCGCTACTCACTAAAGTAGAATGTAGAACATTGTCTTTATACATGATGTTAATAAATGCAGGTCTTTTTTACTTCAAAGTACTATTCTTCACTATGTCTTAACAACAGCTCTTAGTGCATATTGCATTTACATTATTGTTAAGTGCCATCAAGTCAGTTTCCATCCATAGTGACCCTGTATGGGGTTTCCAAGGAATGATTGGTGACCCTGAACCACCAACCTTATGATTTGAATTGACCTTGTAGTCCAGTGCATTAACCCACAGGACTTCATTGCATTTAGTAGTATACATAATAAATAAAAGTTCTTCATTTGTTTCTACCTTGGTAACTCTTATAATTTAAGAAAGACAGACAGTAAATTAATTGGTATTAGGGTTTTATACAGATTTCAATCATAGGAAGTTAATTTTAATATGACTATTATAATTTTTTTCTTTTCTTCCCTAGGAGGACCTGACACCTAAGGATGTCGAAGAAATTATTGATGAGCTTAAAGCTGGCAAAATTCCTAAACCTGGGCCAAGGTATGTGTTTATTTATACCCCTAATTAGTCTTTCATGGAGTCCTGGTGTGGTGCTGTGGGTTAATGTGCTGGGCAGTAAAGTTGTTTGAACCTCAAGGTTGGTGGTTCAAGCTCATCAGCTGCTCCTTGGAAACCCCATACAGGATCACTATGGGTTGGTACAAACTCGACAGCACTTAGCAACAACAATTCGTCTTTCATGTTAATTTTGAAAATTTTATATGCTCAATTAATAGGAATTGGAAAGAGCCATGGATGATTATAAAAAATAAATCTAAAGAAAACTCATGTTTATCAGACTCTATCAGATGATCATCTATCTGCTTGAATATAGTTTATTCTGTTACAAGATTGACCTAAGTCAATTTCCCTGTAATTTCCACCTCTAAAGGTCTGGTTCTGACCATTAAACATAAGGTAATTTTAATACCTCTTCCAAATGACAGCTCTTTAGTTACTTGAAACAGCTATCTTGCTTGCCCCATAGCTTTCTCTCAGAGTATCAATAGGCCTTTAAGTGTTTTTCGTTTTATGACATCGTTCTGGTCTCCGTCCTCTACAGGCTTTTTAAAGTTGGCTAGTAAGTGAATGTCTTTAATGTGAAACTTAAAATTAATTATGAGTAATAAGAACTGAGAAATAAAAGCATTGTGGGACTGCTTATTTTGTTTCAGACCAAAAAATTACCATCTGGCATTGAGTAAATTCTTCATAGGGTTTTCTGTGGCTAATTTTTTGGATCATGACAAGCTATGGACAACATTGAGAAGTATGAGTATTCCAGAACCCTTAATTGTGCTCATGAAGAATCTGAACCTGGACCAAGAAGCAGTTGTTTGAACAAAACATGGGAATACTGAATGGTTTAATATTACAAAAGGTGTGCGACAAGGTTGTATTCTTTCAGCATACTTATTCAACCTGTATGCTGAGCAAATAATCAGAGAAGCTGGGTTCTATGAAGAAAAATGTGGCATCAGGATTGGAGGAAGACTCATGAACAACCTGCAATATGCAGATGATACAACCTTGCTTGCTAAAAGTAAAGAGAACTTAAAATACTTACTGGTGAAAATCAAAAAGCACAGCCTTTGGTATGGATTACATCTTAATGTAAAGAAAACAAAAATCCTGACCCACTGGACCAATAAACAACATTTGTATCAACAGAGAAAAGGTTGAAGTTGACAAATACTTCATTCTTCTTGGATCAACTATCAATGCTCACAGAAGCAGCAGTCCAGAAATCAAATGCCATATTTCATTATGCAAATCTGTTGCACAACACCTTTTTAAAGTGTTGTGAAGAGCAAAGATGTCATGAGGACTGAGGTGTGCCTGACCCAAGCCATGGTATTTTCAATAACCTCATATGGATGCGAAGCTGGACAGTGAATAAGAAAGACCGTAGAAGAATTTATGCTTTTGAGTTATGGTGTTGGAGGAGAACACTGAAAGTGCCAAGGGCTGCCAAAAGAACCAACAGATTCGTTTTGGAAGAAGTGTAGCCAGAGTGCTTCTTGGAGGCCAAGATGGCCAAACTTCATCTCTCATACTTCAGACATATTGTCAGGAGGGGCCAGTCGCTGGAGAAAGATATCAGATTTGGTAAGGTGGAGAGTCAGAGAAAAAGAGGAAGACCCCCAATGAGATGGATTGGCCAAGTGGCAGCATGGATGGACTCAAGCATATCAATAGTAGTGAGTTTGGCCCAGGATCAGGCAGTGTTTTGTTCTGCTGTGCGTAAGGTCACTACGAGTTGGTACCGACTTGATGGCACCTAACAACAACAACAATTTTTTGGAAGTGAGTCACCAGGCCTTTCTTCCAAGGTACCTCTGGGTACAATTGAACTTCCAACCTTTCAGATAGCATGATAGCAGTGTGAGGACATTAACTATTAGGTAATATGAACTTACTTAAAAATCTCTGGAGGCCTGAAAATAAGCTGAAGTTTGAAAATACTTTGGACTTTTGGGGATGGAAAGTGGGTTTATACTTGGAGCAAGAATAAGTAGAGGATTGAACCACTGTCTAAGAAAGATATGGTCATGTTAACAAGTGACAAAAAGTTTCACGTCATTTGCCTCCATAGAATATGATTTTTCACAGTGGTAATGTTTTTGTTAGGTGTCATCGATTGGTTCTGATTCATAGCGGCCCTGTGCACAACAGAATAAGACACTGCCCAGTCTTCCACCATCGTTATAATTGTTGTTACGCATGAACCCATTGCTACTGCCAGTGGTGCCAATCCCATCTCGTTTGGGGGTTTTTCTGTCTTTATTATTGACCCTCCTGATAACATGTCTGAAACATGAGAGATGAAGTCTCACAATCTGGTTTCTAAGGAACAGTCTGGCTATACTTCTTCCAACAAGATTTGTTTGATGTTTTGAATATTCTTTTCCAACACCATAACTCAAATCCATCAATTCTTCTATAGTCTTCTTTATTAATTGTCTAACTTTCACATGCATATGGCGCTATTGAAAATACTTTGACTTAGGTCAGGTGTACCTCAGTCCTCAATCTGATATATTTTTGCTCTTGAACACTTTAAAGAGGTCTTATGCAGCAGTTTTGCCTAATTCAGTGAATTGTTTGATTTTTTGACTGCTGTTTCCAGGATTTTTGATTGTGGATCCATGTAAAATGAAGTCTTTAACAACTTCAATCTCTTTTCCCATTTATCATGATGTTATTTACTGGTCTGGTTGTGAGGATTTTGTTTTCTTTACATTGAGGTAACAACCCATATTGAAGACTGTGGTCTTTGATCTTCATCACTATTTTAAGCCCACTTCCAGCAAGCAAGTTGCATTGTCTGCATATTGCAGGTTGTGAATGAGTCTTCCTCCAATCTTGAGTTCACTTTTTTCTTCACATAATCAATTTCTTGGATTGTTTGCATAGCATACAGATGAAGTATGGTAAAAGAATACAACCATGGTTTGCACACCTTTCCTGATTTCAAACCATTCAGTATCCCCTTACTCAGTATGAATGACTGCCTCTTGGTCTATGTACAGGTTCCAGGAAATGTTCCCCATCTCCTTCCAGAAAAAAACCAGTGTAGTCCAAGAAGCTGAAGAACTAGAAAGAGAGTCAGCTTCAAGTCAATTCAATTTTATAGGCTCAAGTATGTTTCTTAGAAACAAAGTATGTTTCTTAGAAAAGTACTCATAGGAGACAGTTTTCATTTACTAAATTTAAGTTACCTTGGATTAACCTTATTTTGTCATTAGTTTGTGTTATCAGTTGGCCAGAAGAATGGATGAGCTGCTATTCTAGATCACAAACTACAGAACCCACTTAACGTCCTCTGTGCTAGTCATTAAATTTCAGAAAATGATTCTTTATTTAAAAAATTAGGAAAAATATTTTTAAAATAAGGGAATATAAAACAATAGTTGTTTTTACCCACTGGAATATTGTTGTTGTTGTTAAGTGACCCTTTATAAGGTTTCCAAGGAGTGACTGGTGGGTTTGAACTGACCATGTTGTTATCAGTCCAATGTTTATGGCACACCAACATAGTCATTTAAACCTAAAAATACTCTTACATTTGATTTACACTGATAATTTAAAACTCTCAATTTTTGGGTAATTTGTTTTAATATCTCAAGTGCAGATTTCCTTGTGAAATTAGCTTGTATTCTGTAGATGTTCTTCTGATTACATTCTGTAGTCTTAATTTGTAGTTTCAAACCTCCTATTACCCTTCTTTTAAACTCTGTGATTTAAGAATTACAACATTAATCCAACAGTAATCTACTGCCATTGAAATACACAGTAGTTTGTCTGCTATCTTACATATATACAGAGAGAGGTTTACATCAAACACAGTTTTTAAAATGCTGTCTAGTTGGTTCTGTCTTATAATGACCCTTTATACGGTTTCCAAGGAGTAGCTGGAATGATCTGCTCTGTGAAACTTTACTCAAAAAAAAAAAAAAAAAAAAAACAGACATAGTTACCCACCCACTCCATACAGAGTAGACAGGGATGGTCAACTTGGACATTGGCTACCCAAAATGGGGGGCGGGGAGTGGCTTACAAGCTTTCAAGAGGGAGCCTAGATCCAGAGGGCGTGGAGGAAGGTAGAATCTCCACTGAATAGTATCGTATCTGTCTGGGCGGGACTGATGAAAGGAGATGGGGATAGGTCTCTTGTGATACAATAGTGAATAATTGTTATCAGGACTGACTGTGAGGGTTGGAAATGTAAAGGTAGAAGTTTTGTAGCAAAAGGAGGGGAGAAGAGCCGAGAGCAGGACCGTACCTAGAGAAGCAGTGACGCCAGAGATGGAGGCAGAGACGATTTCGTGGAGAGATGGAGCAGGGGACTTGAGACACAGAGATGGAGAGGGGCTGTGTGCTGATGACCAGGTGCCAGGCTTGTAGTGTATACCCTTTGGTTGGTTGATGATGCATAGAGGGGATTTTAACCATGGCAATGAAACGATATACTATAGGATGAATAAAGCTAATATTCTCCCATGTAAACTATCACATAATTCACAATAAAACATTAAAAAAAAAAAAAAAGAGACCAACACCACTCATCTGTGAGTTTGTTGCACTGTGGTGGCTTGCATGTTGCTGTGATTCTGGAAGCTATGTCATGGTATTTAAAATATCAGCAGGGTCATTCACAGTGCATACGTTTCAGCTGAGCTTCTTCCTGATGAAGATGTCTAGGAAGAAGTAGTGATGGGAGTGCTTCGAATATTTAGTCACTGAAAACTTAATGAATAGCAATGGAACACTGTCAGCACCAGAATATTGAATATTGAAACATGATGAAGAATACTAAGAAATTGTCAGATATAGTGCCAGAAGATGAGCCCCTCAACTTGGAAGGAACTCAAAATATGACTGGGGAAAAGCTACTTTCTCAAAGTAGAGTTCACCATGATGACGCTAATGGAAAAAAGCCTTCGGGACCTTCACTTACTGATGATGGGGCACAACTCAAAATGAAGAAAATGGCTTTA